AGCAGGGCTCTTCTGAAGGGAAAATGGGAAAAAGGGGGAAAATGGGGGAAAAGGCGTGCGTTCGGCCTCGAAACAAGTTTACTCCCTACTAAAAGGGAGCTCCTCGTTTCCTGAGACTCCGTGTGTGGGTGTGTGTTTACCACTACTTACGTTGGTTGGGGGAAGTTGTTGGCTTCCTAAACGGATACACCGACTTCAAATAGTTTTTCCCTCTGTGAGCCCCATTCTTTTATGTTTCTTTACGGGTATTCCGCTTTTTTTGCAGGCTGTTGTTGTGGTTGCACTTTTTGTTTGTTGCCAGAATTGGGCTCCGGGTTCCTTTGGCTGGATCCGCCCAGAAATTGCGGACGGAATCGGCATGCGGCAGCACGTGCCAGAGGTGTTCCGACTTTGGTGGCTTCCCTGTACTCCGTAACTCGTGCCGTGGCAATGATGAGTTGTGGTATATTCTCGGGGAGTCGGAATACTCCGGGCTACAGTCAAGGGAGCTCCTCGACTTTGTGACCCTGCCTGCTGATACAAGGATGTGCGGTATGGAGTCGAGTCTATTGCTGCACTTCAAGAAATACCTTAAGCGGTACGTCGCAACGGGTAACATTTACGGTCATTGTTTAATTTTGACAATTACTAAAAGTTTATGCCCTAGTTAAGGTAGTATTATGCATAGTAACAAAGCTTTATGTTGATAAGTTAAGTACTAAAGCTTTAATATTAAGCTTAATTCACAACAGACAATATTATTTTACAGAAATAAATTAAGATCTCAGCTCAAAACTTGGAATTAATTAAACTCAATTGTTCATTGCAACTAAAATGTTTTAGCTTTTGCCAATTGAATTAAAAGCATTACTTTAATAAATTTGTAAACTAAATATTTAATTTAAAGCAGAAACACAAACTTTTAGAACACTTTTTAATAACCGTTATAAATTTTCATAATTAAGTTGCAAGACAATATATGTATAAATTTATATTTCGGGTGCTACAGAAATCACCAAGGTTTTGAAATCACTTATAAAGGTTTAAAAATGTAGCCTGTAGTATGATTTAAAATTTTTTTCTACTATCCATAGTAACTAATTTTGAAATCCTAGTGATTTCGGTGGCACACCGTATATTTAATTTTAGAAATAAATAAATAAATAACTATTAAGTAAATATTGACATTAATTTTTTAAGCCACACTTTTGAATAGAATTCTTACAGTGTATACTTGGCTGTTATCTGGTCCAGTGTGATTCACTCTGCGAAGGCGATATCCACACAGGCTTTGGAGCTGCCCCGAGAGCCGGTCGAAGATTCTCTGATTCCCAGGACTGTGTGTTTGGTGTTCTGTGTTGAGTGTTCAGTGTTCAGTGTTCAGTGCTCACTTGCTGTTTTATATTTACTAACAGCCACTTGAAGTTCATCGCTTACAAACATATTTTCACTTCGTCCCTTCGCATCCTTATATCCCTCCCCCTGGTGAAAGTGCTTATCGCTTTATGATGGGTTCTGTTCAGTTCACTTTGGTTTAGCTCAGTTATCCTTGGCCCCGGGGGAATTTAAGACTTGGGTGTGTGGCCAGGTAAATGCGGTAATTATGAACTTAAATTTCTGGGTCCACTGTTCGACAGCCATTAGGCCAAGCTATCTGGGTTAATTGTTTAATTCCTGGTATCGGCTATCAGACAGAACCAACTCGACCCTAAATAAGCCAACAACTTTTGCTGATCATTTTAAATAACCAGCTAGGGCTTTTTTTGCGTAATTACAGCTACGAAGAAAAAAGGACAAGGGAAAAAGGCGAGTTGGTAAAATTTGTGAGCTGCATAAATTCATTGCGCTTATTAAGCCACCGCCAACACGCAAGACAAAGCCTCGAAAGGGGGAAATGGAACTGGGATTGGGAGTGGGAGTGGGTTTCGGAATGGGGGATGGGGATGGGGATGGTATAATCACACCTTGACCACCTGTCCGCGCTGACGGTTATTCTGGCGTGGTCCTCCTGCATTTTGCCCCCTGGTCGTTGCAGTGCATTTAATCTCGACAGCATTTCCTTTGCCGTCGAGGACGCAGCCCATGACATTTCCTACCTGCAGCCCCTCGTTGCCTCGCATCCCTGGCTCCCCCGATTCCCCGCTTCCTTCCGGCTCCTTTTTTTGCTCCATCCCTTTACTGTTGGCGACGTTGTCGAAAACAAAAATTAGTCCTGCCGTGAAATGGGCAAAGGAAGTGGTAAGTACCAGAACAACCGCCCACCGGGCAAAGCCCAAGCCCAAACCCAAACCCACCTGACCACTTCCACGCCATCGGGCGACTGCAGTAACCGACTTTGGCAGTAAAAATTCGTAATGTGCAGCTAATTAAGTTCAAAGCATAGTTTCAGGCGCTGTTCCCAGTCAGTCTAGTCCTCCTGCATTTAGTCCTGTCGCAACCGCCAACGGCCTTTGCAGTGGATCGCCGGATAGTTGGATGGTCGGATGGTTGGATGGTTGGACTGATGGGATGGACACTTGGCCTGTTGACAGTCCCAATCCCCACAGCATTTTCGTATGATTGCCCCGGAAAATCCACTGCCCCTGACGTCGGAGTTGCTCGCTTTGTGGCCGGTACATCCTTTATCCTTTATTTCAGGCAAATAAAATACAAAAATTGATTCCGTCCTCAAAGGAACGTCACAGTTGCCTTAGCCCCGCCGTGGATCACACTGCCTCAAAGCATATCCAAATCCTTTACTGTGGTAGCTTTGCAGGACACTTGGCAAATTATTTGCATAACAGGTTTAATGAAAAGAGTGATTCGAATATTTAGAAATCATTTAGAAACCAAATAAAGTCTGAATGGACACACCATTACTTAAACTCTTTTTTTTTAATCGGGCTAGTTGTTACAAAAAATAAAAATTATTTTAATAAGTACGCAATAGTTCTTAAAATTATAAGTTTACCATTTACAAAAATGTTAATTCATTTACATTTTTTATATATATTTATATATTTTAATATTTTTTGAACCTCAATAACAGGAAATCGATATTGTAGCAATCAATATATCTTCCAAAATAATTTTTAAGCGGATTTAAAATAAAGACTTCAAAGGCTTATTAAAACAACATTTATATTATAATTATTTTTTCGGTATTATGTTGACAAATTCCAAGTTCTCACAGAAATTTATTAGAGTAGTACATTATTAATGTATAAAAAAAAAGATTTCAAACATAGGGTAATTTATTTAAATTTGTATTCTAAACCATTATTTATTTAGAGTGTATGGCGTTGATTGTAAAAGCTGAAAACGAGGAGTTGGTGGCGAGGCATTAACCTAACTGTAGTGTAAATATTTTGCTTGGGCGATTCCTTGGTCATCATAAAAATTAAAGGACCCTTGTGAAACGTTGTGGACACTTTTGACAGGTAGTCCAGGGGGTGAGGGGCACTTCATTTTACGCCACTTAGAGACGAACACACTCCATCGTGCACATTAAATTCATAATTGCATAGATTTAGCCGCCATTAAAAATGCAAAATGCGTCTCGTGCCGCAAATGCGGCAGATGGAGAACGGAGTGGAGTGGCCACTCGTAACTTCATCGGTCGCATTAGCAAAGTTTCGCCGCCTTATTTATATGCAAACTGGACTCGGACCCTGCCACAATGCAACTAATTGCCACAGAGCTGGAATCCGGCGAAGTGCCTTTTCCAAACTCGTTTTTAATGCGGCCAACGTCGCCGTCTAGTGTTGATTAAATACTGGCCAACTGTGCCATCAAGGGCCGCTTGATAAACATAGGGGCTTGCGGCCAGTGATATCGGGGCTGTCATTTCTGCCACTCCAGCCCACTTGTTGTGCAACAAACCAGGCAAACATCGAGCTGGCCATTTTGCATGGAGTGGCACACAAAACTAAACAACAGAACAGAACAGCACGCAACTGTTTTGAGTTTAGTCCGCCTTATTGCGCCCGGGGGCATGCAACAATATTTGTCGTGCAGTTGATAAAACTGTCCTTAACCGTCCTGCCCGATGGTGGCTCAGATTCCACTTCCATTCCCCCAAAGGAGCTGGCATTGCCGCATTGTCGTTTTGTCTGATGAGTTTTTAAGTACGGACAATTACAAACGACAACCGAGCAGCAACAAATGCAACAAATGCAATCAGCCAGCCGCATGCCGGAGTCGCTCGCTTACTTGGCCAAGTCAAGAACCACGCCCTCCGACCAACGCCCCCATCCCAATCGGTGTCCTGTTCTGGGAGATGGCCTCCATCTCTGGGACCTGCGTTTGCGGTTATCACATTCTGCTGGGCAGTTTAGCTGCGTAATTGAATTAAATTTCGTTTTAAAATGTAAAAGGCTTTTGATTTGGTTTGTAGTCCTTGACGTCGTTTGTACTCCATGAAGTAATTAACATTTGTTTCAATTCCTGAACACCAACTTTGCAGCACGGGTGGGCAAATCCCACAAAATGGGAGTAAATCAAGGAGGAGGAAACCATGAAGTTGGACTGGGGTTCTTATCTAATTAAAACTACAAGAACTTAAAGATCTTTGAAGGCTATTGGCACTGCAAAAAGGAAAATTAAATAGGGCTGTTTTTAAAGGTGGTGGTTAAAGCTGAGTTAAATAGAAAACATAAATAATGATGGTCTATACTAACATTTTTGGTTTATAGGTTGATATTGAAAACACATATTTTGGAACAAAAATTGTTTGTCTTAATAATTCTTGAGTGTGGTAGCAGTGGTTTTATTATTTTAGCTCAAAATATATTACAAATGGATCACCCAAAACTAGCTATTGTATAATAGCTTCTAACTTTGATTTAAGAATATTAACAATTTACATACTTACAAGAAAACCTATAACTATTCAACCATTTATTGCGATTTCGTTTTGACTGCCAACCATATTCAATGATCTGAATTTTATAAATCTATTTTAAAAAGAGCGATTACCACATAAGTTTATTTATTTCTAGATTTTTAGTGACAACTTTTTGTCAGGCACTCTACAAAACCAATACAAATTTAAAGTAAAAACAAAACTTCAAAAATATTCTTCCGATTGTCAGAGAATTAATTTTAAGATGTCTGGAAATACCCTTGGTTTCCCCAGCAATATCGATTGTGTGCGCTGGTACCGTGGAATGTCACCCGTCCAAACGGAGGCTTGTGGTGACCTGCTCCACGCCCTGCGAGATGACATGGAACAGGGATCCACGTACCGTGTGCGGCACTGCGTGTCCAAACTCGGAGTTGAGCCACTGTTGGAGTCCGCCCAGATCAAGACCATAATGGTCCTTAGCCAGGGCAGCGACCTGGCCTTCCTGTGGTTTCTGTGGGAGTTGGGCTACAAGCACTCCGAGGATTCTGATCCGGAACTCTATACGGTCAACGAACAGCTGCTCCTTTCGGGAATAGCCCATCTGGACATGCCAGCAACGTTGAGGGCCTTGGATGCTTTATTGCCACCTGGTTCTCACTCGACGAAGCGGAGCTCCCAACACCAGACTTTCACAAAAAAGCGATCCGTCAGGATGTCTCGTTCAAGTCAGAAGGTCTATGCCCTGCCATACTTTGCTCCTCCAGTGCGTCCTCGTCGATTTATCTCAAAGGGGAAGCTCCGAGCTCCCGAAAGCAGACTGCGGTTTCCGGAGTACTCGCAGTTCACAGATACGATGCACCAAGTCCCCAATGAGTCGTCTCGATGGTTTGCTCAATACCAATTTGATCCTGCAAGGAGGATAATAACCAAACTGCTCACAGAAGAGCTCATTGGGCTTAACTTGGAACCATTGGAGACCACCAAGATGCTGGAACCTCTCTGTGAGACCCATCGTTTTTTGAAGAAGGCAGTGAATATGCAACGACAGGAAATAGACTACTCTAGCCTTCAGCGTTGTCTGTCCCAGTTGGATGTCCCAAGAGCTGAGATTAGGGCTCGAAGGAAACGGATCGTTCAAGATCTAGAGAAAGAATCCCAATGCGTAGCTGGCAAGATATGTGGAGAATGTCGAAAACCTTTTAGCCAAGATATGAGCACTCGCAACGAGTGCGGAAATATGCTTTCCTCACCCAGAAAAAATAATCTAAAGAAGAACGATCATTCGATGGTAATGTATCTTGGATTGGAGAAAAATCCCAGCGTACATTTGTGTGACCAAACGAATGATAACTTAATCAAGGTTATGCTTATGCAAAAAAAAATTTCCCATCGCTGTGGAGCCGGCGATTTTCAAATCCAGGATGTTGACGTCTCATTAGAAGAGCGTAAGGACATAAACATGAGTCCTAAACGTAAAATAAGTCGCAGTTCCCGTAGTCGCAGTTCCCACAGTAGGATATCTCATCATCGAAAAGTATCACCAAAGGGAAGAAAAGTGAAAAAAGACATTGTCGAGGAACCTCCATATATACCAACAACAAAATTTCAGAACCTCGCCGATCTCATTCCCGCTTGCAGTAGGACTTTGCCATGTTTGAAAAGGAGATCTTCCACTCGGTGTCCTGAACCGGAGACTTTCACAACCAGGAATCGCGATGGCTTTCAATTGAACTACCATAAGATATATGATATGCCGGGACTTCCGGACGACCGTTTACCTTGGGAGGATGATCTCGTGGACCTGGAGGACAAACAACCTGTGATCGAAAAGTTCTGCATTGATGCCCTGAAGAATGGTAAATGCAAATCGGGAAAGGAGTTTCAGCGCGACAAGTTCCTTTCTCCAGTATTAAAAGCAGCTGCCAGCTGTGCCGTCGATATGTTCCGGACAAATGTGGCCAACGGGGATGTGGGGGAAATCCCAGCTGAAAAGGATCAGAGGATCAAGAACGATCTCATCGATCCGAACAACGATCAGCAGATTGAGGATCTTTTGAAGGCAGCTCTGAAGGTGCTTCGTGGCAATCCCCACTACGTACTGGCCACCTTCTCCAACGCCCACAAAATGCCCGTGCTCCTTGATTGGGTGGCGGATCGCTATGGCAAGACCTTCAGCCGGAAGGAGATGCACAATCTCGTGGAGACCTCGTTCCGCATCTACGAAAGGTTCTATCAGGGTGAAAAGAACCGGCGGCGAAAGACATTGAGACTAAGGAAAAGTCTGACCGATCATGTAGGTCCGATCACCTATGCCAGCTACAACCAGTTCATGTGCCAGGTCAAAAAGGGGAAAGCCGACTTCTACGACAAGCTCAATAACCTGGCTCTGGAGCAGACCCGCCTCACCTGGTTGGCCCTGCGAGGATACTCCCATCTGGGCGGCCACATCAGGGACACCTTTTTCGCCTACATGCCCGCCAAACAGGACGATCTGAATCGCCACCACGTCTGGCAGTCCAATGACTACCGGGATATGGTAAAACTCCGGCTAAGGAGTCGGCCAACGGGTTGTTAAATTGGTGGTTCCACATTGCAGATCGGAAAACATGGAAACTCATGGACTTCGCACTGCCATTTGGAACACCCATCGAACTAAGGATTTACATTTATCTGCTGATCTGCTTAGTGGCGGGGCCCGAACGAAAAAAACATTCAATGAAATTTGTCATTCGCCATTGTGGGCAACTACTTATGTAAACCAAACTATGTATAATCCCAATTAAAAATGCTGATGCCCAACTAAAACGCCCGGACAGCAAATGAATAGCAAACACGGCCGAACAGAGGCTTAGTTTCAGATTTTCAGCTATCGCTCGGTGGCCAGATTGCCGATGGGCCGTGCCATCCGCCGTTGTTGCTCATTAATTAAAAACGGGGTGGGTGTGGCGGTGCCGAAAAGTGGAAAAGGGGAAAAAACAACAGACAGCAGGTTGACAGGGGGGCGTGGCAAGGACTGGGGCTGGGGGCCATCTGCTGCCATGTAATGGGGCTCCAATGACGCACGTGACACGTGTGGCATGGCACTGACAATTCGAAATCGACTCGCTGACAGGCAGATGACGCCGGACAGACAGGCGTCCTTTTCGGGCGGGCCACGAGCCGAGGTCCTGATTCCAGCGGTCTGGTCGCAGCTCTGCCCGCAGCACTTTGTGTATTGAATCGGTAAAGCATGTGACAGGATTATGATATAAATCATTGCATACTTTACGGCGATCGATTTGAGGACGACCAGCCTGTTAGTGTACGTTTTATCTCCCTTTTAATACACTTTATAATGGAATATACACATTTAACAATTGGCACCTAGACAGATTTTGTACGTATTCAACGTATTCAGACATATTTCAATTTTTTACCCACCATCGCCTACTTAATTTAAAATAATAATCAGTTAATCTCTCCACCCCAGTTATAAATAATTACATAATCATTGTTAAAGACCCCCTTACAATAATAAAACATAATCACCATATTCCTTTTATTTTTCTTTCATTAAAAAACTCGTTTAAAAAGTAAATAAATGTAAAACCATTTATATATGGTTGTAGTTGGGCTTGTAAATATGTTTCGAGTTTTATTAGTTCTAGTTTTGTAAGTTTTTCATCGGCGTTCCTATCAAAAATTTATTGAAATATAATTTTAAATACTTTTAATAATGACAGATTTTTCAATAGAGGCTTATAAATTATTATTTAAATTTGTACAATTTTATTAGCGGTAACCGCTCACACAAAGACTTACATCCACTTTATGCTTAATCAAAATGTATACATTTTAATCAAGGTATTATAACCAGTTCCGCTACAATTTTGAAGATTTTTCTTTTTGGTTATTCGAGGGAGCACAAAAGGTGATGGTGGTAAGTGAGAACCCAATCACATGCAGGTCCTCGGGCGGATGTTTTGTTGCGGACTCTGCAGGAGCTGTCGGATAATCGCAGGCTAATACAATGAGCTTTTCGTAGGAGCACCCCCATTCGAACGACGAACAATGCCCCCCGGAGACGGATCCCCCATTGGCAGCGCCATTTCCATGGCCATTATATTCAATTATACGACAATAACGTGGTGCTTAGGGCGCTGCGGTTCACGGGAATTGAAAATAATAATAATAATAAAGCGGGTTGGAGGGGGGAGGGTGATGGATAGATAAAAAGTGCAAGCTGGTTTTTGGGTGGTAGATGGTCCGTGCACAAGGACTTGAACCAACTATCAGCAAGAAATTATGATTAGCTTTTGGTAAAGTTTTCGACCGCAGTCAGCAGTGAGCGCGGGCACTTGGGAACTGCCACCGCATGCTTTGCGGCCCTAATCCGCCGGACGGACAGCGGACTACGGCAAACGGACAGCGGACAGCGGAATACGGACGGGAAATATCTGTGGAGCTTGAAGCCTGAAACCTGAGAACAAAAAACCGAATTTCTGCTAGCACAACGTTTTAATTTGACTCTTGATTGTTATGCCATTGTTGCCTTGCATTGTGCATTCGGCATTCTACACTCTTATTTCTGTGTGGGCTCTTTGTGTAATCGCCGCTAATGCGCCCGAAATTGTGCTAAACGATTTCCATTCCGACCCATTTCCACCCACCACACTATGGGGCCAACGACCACTTTGGTTGGCCAAAACCCATTTTTGAAAAGTCGTCCAATCCAAAAAAGTTGTTTTAGGATATATTAACAGAAGACCAATCTGCAATGTTACGTTTCAGGAATTCCGATAGAGTGCGCTTCTGTTAAGATAACAGCTGTTAAATCAGATGTTTAAGATGCAAGCCACGTGCTTTTGAAATTCGACTTTTAAATTGCATTTTTAAAGCGTTTAAAAAAGCAGTTTATAAGCGTTCCAAAAAATTTTTGTGAATTCGATGAATGGTGGTGTATACTAAGTGTTTGTGTGTTTAAACGGTTGAAATCTATCGTGCTTTCTTTGTACTTAAGTGTTAAAGTGAGTTGTCTAAAACGCGTTTTTTAATTAGAAAACTAATTTTTAAGTAGAGTAACAAAGTGAGTCCAGCGGAGTCCACTTCTGAAACCTATTGAGATTTGTAGAGTATTAAATTCTTTTTAAAATGTATATGGTTAGAATCGCCACTTATTGCCACTTTTTCCGAAATTTAATTTTTAAGCACATAACCTCAAGTTTTGCAACCTTAACAGTAGTTGCGTTGAATATTAGAATCCTTTTGATTTTCAATGAAATATTGAACTAGAATCCGAAGAGCATGATTTTTAATAGCAGGTGCCATTTTTTTACTTATTAATAAAATTTGTTTAATCCGATTTTTGTGCATTTATATTGAATCTTTGTGGGACGAAGAACATTTTGTTTTGCATTTTGAATTCTATTCAGAAGCAGATATAAAAAATATAACAAAATATAATATAAATGTAATTTTAAAGTACATAATACCAACAAAAAAAATTATTCGATTATCTTAAAAAATAACAAAGTTGACTAAATCGATGGTATGCCAGCTATGGGATATATTTGTTCGATCCTATTCTTTTTAACATATATGTTGCCTAAGGATACCAAAAAACGATTGGTAAAGTTTTATCTCGATATCTCTAAAATTGAGCGAGTTATTAATTTTGGCCAACAAAAGTGGTCGTTGGCCCCATAGTGCACCATTGCGGACTTCGGGCTATTAAGCAACAGCCAACTGACGACTCGGCATTTGTAACCATATTTTAAAGCCCAAAATGGGGATGCTATTTTTCTGACTTATCGGTGGGATAATGAATAGGGGCCATTTTTCCTGGAGACCCGAGATTTGCATTTGCACGCAACATTTGTTAAATGTATCGTCATGTATGTCATTTCACTTAATTATGCCATTTACTTTGCATACAAAGCTGCCATAAGTTTGCCGAAAATCTTGGGCAAATTTGAAACTCTTGACGTTGGGGCGTTTGAGTTTGCTGGAAGAGGACAATTTGTCACAATTATTGCACACAAAATGACAGGCAAATGAAAACCAAGCAGCTGGAAAACAAGCTCCGGAAAAGTCGACTCCAAGGAGGCGAGTGGGCTTTGACAAGTGAAATGTGTTCGGGGCCTGCACAATGATGCAGCAAATGCTCGCAGGAATATTCAGGAGCAGGACATGCCACCTGCAGAGCCATTGGCAAACTTGTGTCCAACATTTTGTCATATTTTTTGGTTAATTTCAGAAATGCAAATCATCGATGCCCTGGCGGAGCGGAGCACGTCCTGTCGCCTTTGTGACAAATTTGCCATCAGTGTTCGTGCGGCGATGTGCTCGTTACAACTTTGTGCGACTAAAATATCATGGATCCGGTTCGCTCTCAAATTTTCCTGGTATTTTGTCCGTTTTTCGTCCTGACAACGACAACTCGTCCCTGTCGATCGTCATGTTTTCTGTGGCACGGCCGCTCATTTGTTTGCAGCTTATTCGAATAGTTGATGTTGGTTTTCTGCATGGCTCAGGATTCTTTTGGCCATGTTATGCAAAGTTGGCATTTCCATTTCCTGCCTTTGTTTGGGCTTTGCCTTGCTGCAGCCTGAAATTGTTCCTTTTACGCAACAAAACATTTGATTATTTTTGCAAACTAATTCGGGTTGTATAAGTTTAAGCAAGCTGTTATTATTGTTAATGCATTTTAAATATTTTCTTAGAATTTTATACGAAGGATTGTATTTAAAGAATATAATAAAACTACAATTTTCACTTATTGAATATTGTGAGTTATGAATGTTGGTTTAGGTTTTTTAAATCACTTATAAAGGTGTCTAAGAGAAGCAACAATATGATGAATGTCAGAATAGACAACGATACATTACTCATAGCCTACTTTCACTTTAAGTTATTTCTAAGCACCTTTAAAAGTCTGATTCTGTTTTTAAGCAATCATTATTAGAATGATTGATAAACGTATAGATTAAAAAAGTAGTTATGTTTAAATGAATATTAATCAGTGTTTTATGGTCCTAAATATTATACTGAGGAATAAGGTAAAATGATATGTTTGTGAATTTAATAAAAATGTATAGCTTTAAAGATTGCCAATTTATTTTTTCTATTCTTTGTAAAAATATATTTTTTGATTTACTAAAACCTCCGATCACGAACCCAAAGTGAGTTTTTGTACTCCATGACATTAAGAGTGCTGAGCTTTCAAAAAGCTCAGACCGGTTCTCTCCGAACTGCGCATGCGTAGCCGTCTCACTGCAATTTCCACAAGACAGAGCGAAAGCAACCATAATGGAGGGCGTTAAAACTCATTCCCAATCCGATCCGATCGCACAGTTAAGTCCGAGACGGAGACGTGTCCGCACCTCGATTTTGGTGAGTTCCGATTTCGCCGAGTGTAGTGCCGGTGATGTGGATATGGAGTTCCACAACGGAGTGCCAAGTGTACCGAAATGGCCAGCGGACTGCTCTTGAATGCCTTTAAAGTGCCGGAAAGCATATTAATTTGCAATATTAAAATAATCTATCTGTCCGTGCAGGTTTATGTCGGCTAACGAAATGGCGTTTGTGAAAATTTGCATATTTGCTTTGGCTTTGGCCGTGGGTAAGTGTGGAAAAAGCTCTTAATTGCATTTGCCAATTAATGATACGTCAATACCATGGCATGCTGCCCTGTACAAACTCTATTTGAATAATGCGCTCTGACTTTAATGCTCTGCTCTCGGCGCAAACAATCGCCTCTAATTGTTCGCCGCACCCAAACAAACAACGGACAAACCAGCAAACCAACAGACCCACAAAATAGCTACAAACAACGATATGCAAATGCTGTGCAGCAACTAAGCTGAAAAATATGGTTGTAAACATTATTTGCGCCCATGTTTATGCATATCTGCAGTGTTTGTGTTTGCAATCCTGACCCTCCCATCATGTCAAATGTTGTCCGATTTCGATGGCACCGAACACGTGTAAATGCCATATATAGCATATAGCATTCATCGTGGGCATTGTCACACTTGTTTTTGGTAACTTGCATGACTTTGGTTTTGGGTTTTTCCCCGGAATTGCAATTGCAACAATTGCCAATGCAATTGAAAATTCGGCAATTTAATTTGCTGGCAAATTTTCTGCTCATTTATTGTGTGAAAGCTCATTAAAAATTTGTTTGTCTACGATGCCCCAGTATGCAAAACATTAAAATTTAATATTGTTAACTCCGGAATAAAACATAAATTGATATGCAAGCAACTGTTGCGCGCGGGGGCGTATGCCGAATTTGGTAATTATATTAAAATGGCCATGAAAGTATTGCAGCAGCTCATAATTAAATGTATAGCAATTTGGGGCCACGCAGTGCGAGTACACAAACATAAATGGCATAAATTAAATTCACAGTTAATTGAGGGAAAACTCTCCTGATGCCAAGCACGTTGAGACAATGGAAAAGTTTTAAATTGATTGCAAACATGTTTGGGCGAAAAGTTTATAATTTATTTGCCTCGACACTTTCTACAGAGACTGCCAGCCAGCCAGACACCTTTCCCCAGAACTCACAACCAAAATAACCCCCCCATTCGAGTCTATTATCAATCTCACATCAGTTCACTGAATGACATGAAAAAAGTGCTTCAATGTGTATATTTTTAATCTATTTAATGTTCATTGAACTTAACACGAAAGCTGCACGCACTTTCCCAAGATGACAGCCCGACACCCACGACGTGTGTGACTGGAATCGAAAATCCAAAGCCGAAGCGGTTTTTGGGGCACAAAAACTTTGGCCCCACTCCGGCATAAAAGGCAGGCAGTCAATTAATCTAGTTTAACCGGACTGGGAACCGAGTCAAACGGTCCAGGACCGGGTTGAACCGGGTCTGTTGACAACGGAGTCGGCCGACGACTGCGACTCCATGGCAAACTTGTTGACAGACTGTCAGAGCGACGCGACCAAGTCGGCAACTCCAGCTCCGGTCCCGACCCAAACCCAATCCCAATCCCAAACCGCATAGGCCACGCTCCGCTTGGTTCACTCGGGAGGCTGCCAAAAAAAGAGCCCCATAAAAATGAAAGGACAACGCACACATTTCCGAGGCAGACCGAAGGGGAAATGCCCTTGAGGGAAAAGCTTTTGAGACAAATTATTAGAAAATGTTGTTTAAAAAAAGTAGAGGATTACGTTCCTTCATCCGAAAATTCAAGATAGATTTTTATTTTTCTTTGACATGGTAAAAGTCATCAGTAAACGCAATTTTTATATAAAAATTAATCTCAAATAGTAATCGGTTTTTGCTAAGAGGATAACAAATTCGAGAGAATTAGATTTATTTTGGAACTTTTCCAAATCCCTCACCCTCTGGATCTGCGCCTATTATAGTTTTTATAAATATTATTTTTTTATAACAATATTTTTACTTACTACAAATTTGATTATATCGTCGCTTTACTATTTAATTTAAATTAAAGACAATGTTGCAATTGGATTAGTATAGAAAAATATGATCACAAAGCAAAACCCAATAACTTATGTTAGTTTATTCAATAGTGAGTTACCCAAAGATATAATCAAAGGCAGTGGCATTTAAAAGTTCGGACGTATAGTATCTCAATTACGTTTCCCAAGTCAAAAGATTTTCAAAAGCACGTTCATATACTTCCTTTTAACACTTTCAAAAAGTTGTTCCACATTCTAACTACTTTTCATTGAACCCCAGTGCAAGAGTATTTACCAACTGAACTATGAAGCTTTAGCTACTTTTTCTTTCCAAGCTTCTTGTTTGTGTTGAGTTATTTTTCGCCAGGTCCCGTGCCGTGTACGAAACATGTTTCAATGACAAGCGACAGCTGCAACAGCAGCAGCAACAACAGCAGCAACACCAGCAGCAACACCAGCAGCAACAACAGCAGCAACAGCAGCAGCAACAGCAATACCAGCAACATGAACGACAACGACAACAACCACTAGTTGTTGCTGCAGTCGGTGTAGTTGCTGGCTTAAATGTTGCCTGACACTTCACGCACTAATTGCTCTGTGGAATTGTTTCTTTATTAACGTTTAATCGAATGTCAGCCGTGCGACGTCAGCATCAGCAACTTGCTGGCATTGTTGATGTTCATTGCGGCTGCTGCGATGGCTGCAAAACGAAAATTGAAATCGTCTTTTCTCGTTTCTCCACTCGTTTGGTTTTTTCGGAATTTTTTTTACAATTTTTGCAATGCCTGATTGGAGTGGTTTACCTTGAGGAGAGCTCCATGTGGGTTGCTGGATGCATTTTGCCTGATGGCTGATGCCTGATTCCGCGACCATAAGTTGTTGCAACTTGCAACTTGTCGGAAGTGCGTGGCAATGTCTTGGTTTTCCGCTGATTGCAACATTTCAAGGCTGAATTTCAGCAACAGCTGATGTGGCTTAAATCAGCTGTTTATGGGCGTAAGCCAAGCTTTGTAATCTTTGAGACACTTTCACTTTTAAGGTCGCTCGACCGCCTGGCCTGTGTCGCAATCAAACGGCAGAGCAAAGCGCTAACTCATATACATATAGGTAGCTGTTTATTGAGTCGCCTCAAACGGGTTTCTCGCAAACAAAGTGGAAATATTAAGACAAAAACAAAAGACAAAACGTGCAAGTTACACTCAGAAAAAATCGCTGAAAAGCTTTTAGCAATTCGTCAATATTAAATGTAAAGCTAGATAGAGTAAAATATATAATACAATTTGTATTTACTTAGTAATATTTCAAATAAATAAGTTTGTGTGCATAACCATTTGCAGTGCAACTACACTTCTTAATTGATCTAAGATTCTAATTCGGTTTAAATATCAAATCAATTAAAGAAGCCAAATTCGTAACACAGCCAAATTCGTAACACAATTGTAATTTATATTGCAAGAAAAGACTGCTTGTAAGATAAATACATCTTTGTTGTCAAACAATTAAAAAATAACTATAACAAGATTTGCAGGATTATTCTTACACATCGCCAAATAAAGCACAAAAATAGAAGCTGGAAATTTAAATGATTTCTGACAAGTTTAGCCAAGTGTTTACATTTATGACAAATGAATATGGCATTATGTAACGGTTGAATTAGGATGTTTTCAATCGATAAAGCTTGGTATTTATTTCTTTAATTTTGGTAAATTTAATGGAATTGATTGCTTATTTAATGCTTTTACTTTAATACAATTTAAAACCATTGTAGAAAAGTACTGTTAAAATATGACGCATTGTTGCCATTTAATAACTAAACAATTTAATTAAGGGCAGTAAAAGCCAAGTGTTCATACATTTTGTGCAATGACTTTAAAGTTTGATTTATATTAGATTAGATAAAAGAAATGTGCCATATTCAATATAAAATAGGTATTGCAGAAAGCTCCCTTCAACAAATGTATATTTATTTTATTAGACAGTCGACTGTTTAATTGTGTGTATTGATTGTTGGTGTATAAATTATTGCCTTTGCTACCATTCGACCAGGTCTGACCGCAACCCTTGCCCAGGAGAAACGAATCGGCTTCCGTGGGAGCAACAGCCAGTTCCGCGTGGGTCCCGGCCATCCCCCCTCCCAGCGGCACCTGCCTCCCCGCGACCGTGATCCCGTCCAGGAGGCCTCGGTGGTGCCCAAGAGCAAGCAGACGGCCGCGGAGAGGGAGTACGAGCCGACCGAGGAGTGCCCCGAGCCCAATGGCTTCTATCCGGACAGCAAGCAGTGCGACAAGTACTACGCCTGTCTGTAAGTGACCAAAGGTGAAGTCGCCACGGGGCGTATGAGTAATGCTGTATGCCGTATTGACCACTTTACAGAGATGGCGTGCCCACGGAGCGCCTGTGTGCCGACGGGATGGTCTTCAACGACTACACACCCATCGAGGAGAAGTGCGATCTGCCCTACAACATCGACTGCATGAAGCGGACCAAGCTACGTGAGTATTAATTTGTAAGACCCGCGTTACGTATGCGCCGCACAAATCTGGGCTATATATAAAGCTCCTTTTGGTTCCTCTTCCTCCTTGTCCACCATCTCCTCCTCCTCCTTCTCCTGCGGAGGAGACTCCCCATTCACCTCCAAAATCAGCCCATAAACGCGCTGCGTGCCCGCACTTATTTGCTCGTTACTTCTTGGCTGCGCTTTTTGTTAACTTATTTATTATGCAAACGGCATGCGAGGCGGTTAACCCAAATTGTTGTCGTCAATAGGTCTTTGGTCTTGGCGCGGTGCTTTGTTTTTATTTTTCGCCTCTCAGTAGACTTGTTTTATTCGTGATTTTATTATTTCCCTAACGGTAGAGCCGCCATCGAAATTTTAAGCCCCTAGCCTCAGCAATTGGCTTCCCGCAGCTTTAAACTTGCCTCAGACATGTGCCACGTTTGGGAGTAGCATCTTTCAAAACTTTCCGACAGAACACTTTAATAAAGTTTTTGCTTCATCCTTGGCAGAAGTGCTCACACTAAAACGAATTCAACACCAGCACAAAATTGCTTTAAGAAATTATTTTCACTTAAAAACTAACACTTTGTGAGGGCCATTTGTATGATTTTGTAATATAAAATAATACGGCACGTTTTAGTTTTTAAATAAATTATTTGCCACCCATCAAAGCAATTAGTACACATTGTGCAGGCCCATTAGCAATTTCAATTACCTTTGTCAACTGTTGACATATGACGCTGCAATGGAATATATGCAGCTGAATAAATGTGTGCCCAGAACATTGTGCTGGCTGGCTGGCATGAAGTATTTACGAAAGTGCATAAAGGGTTTTTATGGCCAAGGAAAGGTATACGTGTCGTGCACTGGACGACGAAAATTTAAAGATGCAAAAAGGGGAAATACAATTTTTGGCCTGCGCTTTGTTATTTTTTAATTATTCCATCGCAGAAACGCCGCAACCATCGCTCCACTGTCCCCGGAAGAACGGATACTTCGGGCACGAGAAGCCCGGCATCTGCGACAAGTTCTACTTCTGCGTGGACGGGCAGTTCAACATGATCACCTGTCCGGCGGGTCTGGTCTTCAATCCCAAGACGGGCATCTGCGGCTGGCCGGACCAGGTGGGCGTCACCGGGTGCAAGTCGGAGGACATCTTCCAGTTCGAGTGCCCCAAGGTCAACGAGAGCATCGCGGTCACCCATCCCCGCTACGCCGATCCCGAGGACTGCCAGTTCTTCTATGTCTGCGTCAACGGAGATCTCCCCCGGCGAAATGGATGCAAGCTGGGCCAGGTGTTCGACGAGGATAAGGAAACCTGCGACTGGGCCCGCAAGGTGCCCGACTGGTAAGATAAAGGGATTTCCCCTTTTTTTAATTATCTGGACATAACTATCAACTATAGCTTACTTGTAGAAGTCGTTCCCACCTCGGTAAATTTATTATATACTTTTCAGATAATATTAAAAAACATGCATAAGAGTGGACAGAATTAAATAAATATAAAAAGTCAAAGAAATCCTCCTAAAATTAATAAAAACTGAACCTAATTCTACATTTCGTTTTTTTTTCTGATAATGAAAAGTTAGAATAACAGTATATAACATTTTAAATAGTTTGACCAAATATTATAACTAGTAAAATAACTTAACCTAGATAATGTATTTAATTGTTCCTCTAAATTTTCAATTACTTAAATTTATTTTTTTACATTTTGCAATGAACATAATATAACCACTGAATTAATCATAAAAAGAGTTGAACAGTTATGGAAAAAAATCTAAAATTAATTTCAATCGATTGATCAGGTTAGCAAATATGGATGTGTTTTAAAAAAGGCTTCTAAGGTTTTTTACGTATGTATAGTCTGATTCTAATTTCACTCCCTTTTCATTGTAGTGCTGACTGGTACAAGGATCGCCTGACCGACAAGGAGCTGGATGAGCTGGAGAACCCCAAGCCCAAGACCACGACCACGAAGAGGCCGGCCCGAGTGCGCGGACAATTGAGACGCAAGCCGCAGCCGAAGCGAGTGGAGCCGGAGGAGGAGAAGGAGGAGGAGTCCTGATTCCCGACTGTATTAGCCTTAAGTGAATCCCACTGATTGTCGCCATTAAAAGCGTGCAGGAGGTCTAACTATCGATCGCTTAACTCAAGCTCTGGAGCTCCATGGGCGACCCCCGTATCCCCTGATGCCGATGGGCAATCCGCGGATGCCAGGAGAATTAGCCCCTTCCTGCTGAAAGTCCTTGCGAATGTAATATGCATGGGAATTTGTGTGAGGAGCAGTTGATATGGTGCCAAAACGACAGGATTTTATGCGCATCCAGTGTGCACAATCCGTGCACTCTGCAATGTCCCCTTGTCCCCGTGACATGACGGAATCAATGCTCCACCAATGCCCCAACTCTTGCCGAGAGTTTCCCCATTGCCTGCAGCGCATAAATTCAATTTGCCGATGAGCGTGCACAAAAGTATGCAACAAAATGGCAACAACTCGATACAGACACACACAAGCAAACAAGGATATTGGGTGTTTTGGGATGGCTGAGGGGTATGCCATAAGGGGGAAGGGGGGTTGGGTGGTCGAGGGGTGGAACAACATGTGTATGACGTTTGGCAGACAAGAAGCATTCGATAAAACGCATTGAAATTGCATTGTGGAAATTGTGAGCAGTTGAATGGCGAGATTTACAGTGGCCATTGCCAATGGAGGGAATGAAATTGAGTGCTGGGGGAAAGCGGGGAGAAAACTCTGGCCGGGGGGGTTGAGGAAAATGCCGTTGAGGGCATCAATTCTTATTGTTTAAGCACTGACGTGAAATCTGAGCAAACGATGACATTTTTACTCGGCATTGTTCGAGCGTTTGCTTAAATTTACTTATTCATTGGTTTGGGGTGGCAATAAATGGATTTTCATATAACTTGGTAACAGGATAATAAGATGAAGTGTCTGTTGTTCAAGTTTTTAGAGATTAAGTTAGTCTCCCAACTGCAGGCTATCATGGATTTGATTTTAAATATTCATTTCTTTGATACCTTTGGTCAGTGCAAGAAATATTCGAAGAGCGAAACTCGTATTAGCTAAACTCTTTGGCTAATATTATTCTATTTCTATTTTGGCAGATTAGAACCAGTATTTGTCGTACTCCTTAATGTATTATTTTGGAAATTATTCATATGATTTCCTAATTTGTGTAAGGCCACTGGTTTTGTAATTAAAACAAGGGCGGTGTTCCTTTTTTTTACATATAAAAATTAAAGCTAGAGCTTATCCTTAAAATACTGAGTTACAATGTTTTCAATCCACTCCTGTTAGGTACTTCTTGATTCTGCTTGATATTCTCCATGGTTGGTCTGCTATTCCGGTGTTAATTAGCCACAGCTACGGGTCATCTAACCTCGACTTATGGCGTTGGCCAAAGGACATGGGGACAAGCAGCTGGCTCTAATTAATCAACCCACACATACGCGCACAAGGACCTAGGTACACACTTGTAAACCAACTCAGAACGGAAACGTCTCCGTGCTGCTGTCAATAATTTGGCACGTCCTGTGACCCCCGCCTGCCGGTATCCTTGTCCTTGTACCACCCAAAGTGTCAACTCGACAATGAACCACATTCAGCCCCCACAACCACGCCGTCCATCCCTCACCTTTCCGGTTCAGAGGAGGTCCATCTAAAAAGCATTTCGTCGAACTCAGCGCCTACTTAATCAAGTGTAACATGGACATGTCCAGGCTCACCTGCCGTTTGACATATTGCGCGATGTCTATCCCCCCCATGACCTTTACCGCCTGCGCCGGGGGCCATGTCCTGTGGGGGACTCCCCTTCCATGTTCTTCGGTCAGCGTGCGCTGCTATCCAATGTCAAATTTGACATAAACAAGTGTTTACATAATGACAACAACAATTTGCGTAATTGTCACAGGCATCCGAAGCAGCAGACGATGGATATGGATGTGGCACCACGAAGGGTTCCACCATCGCTGGAGCTCCGACCCTGTCGAATGTTCAAACAGAGGAGCAGGAGCATCCCCGGCACAGTGTCCTCGGTCGCCCCTTCATTTGGGGTTGCATTCCGCTCGGATTTAGCCTTCCAACGTTGTCACACGACGTACTAGAAATGTTTGCGACTCTGATTAATTGATGGGTGTGGGGGACCTTGCAAAGGTCAAGATGAGCAACTCTTTTGCATTGTTTCGCACCGAGGGAATCGCAGGGAACTTTTTAATTGGATATTCAAGATTTCAATGTTTAAGAGTTTGTTAGTTTGGTTAGCAAGCATCCACTTTGTTCTTTTGAATATTTAAATATTTTATATTTAACCATTTTCAAGTTATATTGGCTTAAATTTTTAATTCCTAAACAAAAAGTGTATTGACTAAGACCAGAAATTATTAAGAAAATACCTTTTTCCGGTATAGTTGTGAAATTGTGATTAAAACGATAGGTAAATACAGAAAAACTTATAGGTTTTTAAAAATTAGAACAACAGAAAACTTTTCCAACGTAAAATAACCCATTTAACAGATGAATGCTAATTTTACTGTTTATATAGAATAATCTAGGTATTAAAACTACTATTTTTAGCCCAAGCAAAAAAATACCTACTACAAATCATAGTCTTACGAAAATGTTTTATATGTTCGATAGCCATTTTCTATTTGACCTTGAAAACGTAGTCTTAAGTTTAGGAAAACTATTTCTCATTGCAACCCTTAGGACTGCGTGAGGTATAAACTAACCCTATTCCGATCTTGATAGGCCTAGTCCGCTATTCGTTAAAGGCCCCAGAAACAATCAACGTTGGGATAGCCCGTATCTTTTTCAACTTTCTCTGACCTCCCGCCCAGCATTATAGCCAAAATACAGACCAAGAAAAAAATAAGAAAGAAAATAGCAAGGCGTGGTATTGTGCCTTATGCTGGAGAAAAGTTGATTGTTTGGCCCTTGGGCTATTTGCTTTCTTGATGAAATAATTAAATGTCATTCATTGAGGTCGTTTGCCGCCTATTCCTGGAGCGCCGTCGCAGGACCTCTTTGCCAGCCCACTTTGCTGCTTCCTGATTTCCGACCGGGCCCTGTGTAATTGTTGACCACTTTCGCATATCCTTTTTGCGCCTTGTGCTGGCTAATTTGTGCAGACAACGCCTTCGGGGGCGGTCCTTCTTGGTGCGGGTCCTGCTTTTGAATCCAGTTATGGTACTCACCCCCATCGTCCCGTTCGCCAAGTTCATTAAACTTTCGGCCAGGCTGCGCCTTTGGTCCGGCTAATTAAGTGCTGCACATCCTGCTGCTTTCCGGGCCAAGTTTAATGAACTAGTCGCCAACTGACGTCACACCTGACGCATCCCGTCTGCGAATTTGCATATTCATAAGTGCCACGTCAGATACAGCCGCCGCATCAGATGGAAATATGTATACGGATGGATGATAGATAGAAGGATAGACAGGCGGCCAGACGGCAGGCAGCTTGACAACCAATTTGCTGCAAAACTTTTGGGTCTTGGCCAGTTTTCAATTTGATGTAAGCCACGAGTTCAGACGCCAGCCCATTCGTGGGATGCGAAGGCCAAAGTTTGAGCCGAGTTTATTGCCTGGCCTGGCAAATGGCAAGTGGCAAAAGGCAAGTGGCAAGTGGCAGCATGGAAATCAATTCTAGGCCAATCCCGGCAAAGTCGCGCCTTGGGCCACTAAATTGCAGGTGGCCCCCTTGACTTACAAGAAGCGTCTTTTCCCCGGGAGCAGTACCCGAAAGTCTGCGTAATGTTCTGCCAACTTTAAAACTGTCAAATGGACAAGCCAACTGCCAACCCAAAACTGTCAAAAGTTATGAATTTGCCATGCAGACACAAACACAGTCGGTATCCTCTGGATCTAGATTACAATTAATGTGAAAAAGCCATTTGAACTGGCGGTAGTTGGTAACGAGGAACTGGTAACTGGTAACTACTAACTATTTCGGTTACCGCAGCTAAACATTGAAATTGGGATGGCCCGGCCGCCTTAGGCAGCACATATAAATCACATGAATTTATTATGATGATGGCATAAATCATAGAGCCATGCAATATATAAAATTGCACCATTTTTTTGGGGTTTTTGTTTTCTGTTGAGGCATCAACTTGGGGGCATTGTGTTCGTTGTTTAAGCGCCGCAAAATATGCAATTCGAGCGATACCAGTTGACAACAAGGAGCTAGGGACAAGGATGGCAGGAGCCCACCAGTGCTGACTTTCTAGCCGGATGAATTCATTTTGAAAATAGGAAATTATTTTATATCTTTGCTAACCTCCCACAAGTAAGGTCGTTTTAAAACTAGTTTTAGCAGTAAAAAAATGTTTTTAGTAAACCGTTTTATAAAATTTTAATGGCTTTTATAGTTTTAAGAATTCTAAAAAAAAATGAACAATCTTTTTTAAGTTGTCATTCCCTTAGGCCAAAATAAAACTGATGTTATTACAATGAGGTTTTAGAATCAAAAACAGACTAAAAGGATTTTAATAAGTAAACTCAAACATGTTTAAAAAGATTAATACATTCTGATTTTTTAAATTCTGGTTTTTCACATACAAGTTCTTCTAGTTTCTTTTGGGTATCTTTTTTAATTTTCACTAAAATCAGAAAATACGAGTTAATAAAGTGTTATATATGCTTAAAGTTTTCATCTAATTTATGCAAAATGTATTATTTATAATAAGATTATTTTTGATGTAATTAGTAGATAAATTTTCAAAACTAAATACAACGAATTTTAAAACTTTACTGCATAAATAACTATATTTACTGCATACTGCAAATAACTAAATTTATGTTAAAATAGACAATAAAATTCAAATGACTGGTCTGCCCAAAGTCCAAACTGTGGTGAAAGTTTTGGCTCCTTTTAATTACCTAGTAAGGTATTGTTTTAAGTTTCTTGTTTTGGCTCACTTCTGTCAGTTTAGAAGCTATTTTATTGTTTTTAACTTACTTGCAGTAACTTTATTTGGCGAATCTAGCAGTTGTCGGTGCTGACATGGCGGCACCACTCGAAGGCAGGGCAAGTCAGGTCAGCTCCTGTCAACGGATGGGGCTGGTCAGGGAGCAGGAGCAGGAGCAGGAGCGGGATCAGGAGCCGGAGCAGAGTGCACCGCT